GAGATCTCATTGCGATTCGGGAACTGAATTTATCTCATAATGGATTGCAAGGTCCTATACCACCATCATTTGGAAGCTTATCCATGGTGGAATCACTGGACCTTTCGTTTAACCATCTTTCGGGAGAGATACCACAACAACTTGCTTCTCTTACGTCTCTTGAATTCTTAAAATCTCTCCCACAATTATCTGCAAGGATGCATCCCTCAAGGACCTCAATTTCGTACCTTTGAGGGCAATTCATATGAAGGTAATGATGGATTACGTGGATTCCCCATTTCAAAAGGTTGTGGCAATGATCCTGTGTCGGAGACAAATAATACAGTATCTGCGCTAGCTGATCAAGAAAGGAATTCTGAATTTCTCAATGATTTTTGGAAAGCTGCTCTGATGGGCTATGGCAGTGGACTATGTATTGGATATCCATAATATATTTCATGATCTCAACTGGAAATATGAAATGGCTTGCAAGAATCATTGAAGAACTGGAACACAAAATTATCATGCGAAGGAGAAAGAAGCGGCAAAGTCAAAGGAACTACAGAAGAGAGATAATCGTTTCTAGACAAGTTACCAATAAAGAAGGATTCGATTTCAGAACTTCAGGTATTCAAGCTAAGATCTACACTAATCTTTTTTAGTTTATTCTAACTATTTAATGCTCAATATGAAGCGTATTTGTTTTTCCAACAACTTCAAGAAGCTAAAGATTTGAAAATGTTATATTATGAATTTTTTATGATATATAAAGTTTATGTAAGTTTCTAACGCTATCCAATAAATGTTGTGTGTATTGGATGTTCCTGGATTGCTCGCTGCTGCCTCAACGTGTGCTGAGGTTTTGCAGCAGTCTAAAGAGAGAGCGTTGAGAAGAGCTAAATTAGATGAAGATATTTATCGTGTGATAGAGGAAAGAGCATTAACAAGGAAGAATGAGTTCGTGACAAGTGATTAGATTTACTGGCCAAGGGAATTGCTTTAATGGATATGAGAACACAAACAATTTGGATTTGATGATCATAACAGAGCTGTGTTTCAAATTTCTTTTAGAATAAGTTTGTAACATTTTATTTTTTTTGATAACCGAGAAATCCATCAGTGATCCACCCTTTGGGCCTATCACAGCCTTCTAAACTCGATGGATAATGAGCCCGCCCCTATACCCTTCTCCACTTAAATACCAGGCTTCTCTTTGTAAGATTTACTGCACATTTTGTTTATTTTGTATGTATTTATTTATAAATCGAATAATTATGTTGTTCCTTTATTGTTAGAGCATTGTCCTAAAACTGCTAATTGGCAACCTAATAATAAGTTGTGCTTCTACCCCTGCTTTTATAAAGTTATACAGATATAGATTTGAAAATGTTAATCTTTTGCATAATTATCTACGAAAAAGGGTCACTTTTGCTCTTTTACTTCGAGAAATAGTTTAAATGTATCATCCGTTTAAGTTTTCAGTCGTAACTAACCATGGGGCTATACATTTGACTGCCTCTAACCCTAACCGAAAAGGACACGTGGAGGGTCAGCAACACAAATAAATAATCCCGAATTATCTTATAACTAGTAAAATTATTCACGCTTCGCGCAGGAATTGAATATCATGGAATTTATAAAATAATACTTAAAATCTATCCGTCATTAAAACTAAAACACTATATTATCTTACATACAAGATTACGTAGTAACAAACATTAATAATGTAAAGGAAAATGTAAATTATTATATCTTACTCCCTCCATTCCATATTAATTGAATTTTTGAGGTGTTTTACACCCTTTAAGAAAAGTACATTAAGACATAAATTGAACGTAGTTTTCCATTTTTACCCTTATTAATGTCAAATTTATAATTAAAATAACTAAACATTCATTAAATTTTATTGAAGTCGTCACATTGAAAATCCAAATTAAGGGTAAAATTGGAAGAATATTTTAAAAATAGTCTTGAAGATTAAACAATTAAGTTAATTTGAAAAATAAAAAATGCCTCAAAAATTCAATTAATATGAAATAGAGGGAGTATCATTTATCTTTAATAACATAAATATAAATTAATGACTGTAAAAAAACATATCAGGATCTGTAACATAAGAAATGGTCTCAGTGAGCCACTCAACAGGAGCAAAGTACACAAATATTTAATTGTGAAGAAGAAGAAGAAGAAGAAGAGGTTCAGAATTTTAGTTGTTTTAAAATGAGAGGAAATTCCTCTATTTATAGATAACAAAGGATAGTGTGAACAAATGTTTATTGTGCCTTATCAGAAAGGTTATAACTATTTGAAAAAGTTGCAACCCTTCAGAAATGTCACAACCTTACATAAAAGTCACAACTTTTCATAAAAGCGCAAGTCTTCATTAAAGTCGCAACTTTTCATAAAAGTCACAATTTTTCATAAAAGTCGCAATTTTTCATTAAAGTCACAACTTTTCCTTAAAATCGCAACTTTTCATAAAAGTCACAACTTTTTATGAAAGGGGAAGGCTAATTTTGAAAATAAATAAATTAAAAGGAAATTCTGGTTTGTAGTAGCGCCACGTAGGCGGACCTAAGGTTCTCTTTTATATATATACTAGGTAATTTACCCGCACGAATATATTTCTAAGATTTTGAACAACCTTTCCAATAATCGAGTGTTATAAGAAAAGAAAAAAAAGAGTAAATTTTAGCAGGTTTTAAGAACATTTCAACAAAAATTAAATGATTTAACATTATCACATATCTCAAAAATTGTAAATATATAATGAATGATTAAAAATATCTTCACATCTAATAATTTTTATCTTTTACATAATTTATCATAAGATATGTGATGATATAATTGTCTTGTTAAAACAGAGTGATGTTTTTATGTAGCGATTAAACATCATTTTTTCTATTTTTTGTACATGAAAAATATAGAATCTGATAGTTTTATGGTTAGAATAACTCCTTGTGAAAAAAATTAGGTGAAAGTTTTCGATAATCAATATTAGTTATAAATAAGTTAAGACCGTTAAAAATGTACACCACAACAACATAAATACATTTTTTTAGAGACAATCTACTTCTCGGAGGTCAAACGTTCACCACTTTTCGTTATTATTACTATGTTACTCTAACAAAATATATAGAAGGAGAAAAATAAATTTGAAACAACAGCAAAATAATATTGTTGACCCTTTTTAGAAATTCATTCTTTATTAAACTA